GGATGCTGCCGGGGGGAGGAGGAGGGAGGAGCCTGGAGCTGCACCGGAGGGAGCCCCCCTGGGGGTGGGGTGGGGATGCTGGGGCAGTGGGGAGCCCCCTTAGTGGGGGCTGCCCCGGGGTTTGCTCACCGAGCGGTGGAGGACCCCCAAAAGGTGCTCTTGGGGTGTCGGGTGGGAAGCCCCAGGTGATGCTTGAGGATGCTGGGATGGAGGGGCAGCTCTGCTGATGGGGGCTGCACCAGGGTTTGCTCACCGAGCAGCGGAAGACCCCCAAAGGATGCTCTTGGGGTGTCAAGTGGAGAGCCCTGGGGGTGCTTGGGGATACTGGGACTGGGGGGCAGCTCCACTGGTGGGGGCTGCACTGGGCTTTGCTCACTGTGCAGTGCAGAAACCCCAAAGGATGCTCTTGGGGTGTCAGATGGGGAGCCCTTGGGGGTGCTTGAGGATGCTGAGACTGGGGGACAGCCCCGTTGGCGGGGGCTGCACCAGGGTTTGCTCACTGAGCAGCAGAAGACCCCCAAAAGATGCTCTTGGGGTGTCGGGTGGGGAGTCCTGGGGGGTTCTTGGGGATGCTGGGACTGGGGGGCAGCTCCACCGATGGGGGCAGCACTGGCGTTTGCTCACTGAGCAGAAGACACCCCCGAAGGATGCTCTTGGGGTGTCAGGTCAGGAGCCGTGCGCACTCAGGGATGCTGGGCGTGGGGTCAGCAGCAGGACGGCCGTGGGGTGCTGAGGGGCAGCCCCCCGAGCCCTGGAGGTGCCGGGGGGGGATGCTGCCTCCAGGCCAGGGCTCGGGTTAGCCCCTCTCCGGGGGCTGTTTGAGCCCCGCCGCCTTCCTCACCCGGGGAAGGCGCAGGGCTCGGTGCGCCGCGGGGCATCTCCTGGGCGCAGGCTGACGTGTAACGCCCTCCGGGGTGATCATACGGCAGCTCTGAAATGGCTTTAGGGCACTTGATTACCAGAGAGAAGCGGGAAACCTGCGGCCTTCCAGCAAACGAGCCCGTAGCCTCCGCCGGTAGCCACCCCGGGGATCCTCGG